GTATTTTTAAGATCCAAAATCAATTTAAGTTGATTCAGAATCCACAAATATCCCATAACCACCTACAACATATATAACAGTACATAAATTGATAAATACCGCATTTTCGCGAAATAACGCGCAGGGGTGTAATTTCGAATTTTGGCCTAAATTAAAATTAATTCGGGCCAAAATTCGAAATAATGCTCATGGCGTTATTCCGCGAAAATTAAATAAAAAGAATTTAATTAACTAAGAATAATGGAACCTATTTATGAGTTATTTCACTAGCATTTGATCAATTCTTTGTAACAACTTTAACCATCAGGTCAAATAATTTCTTCACTACCTCAATTCAATTTATATTAACTCTACTATAAGTTTGCACTTAAGAAGGGTCGACTGTATCAGTTTTAAAAGGTTTATATTTAAGGGGTCTAATAACTATCAGATACAATCAGAAAAATTTCAATTTGACAAGTTATCGGTTTTAAAAGATTATGTTATATATATACTGTATAGATTAAGTAAACACAAGTTGAATCAATGAATATTGGAACATACCAGGAGACAAGTCTTCTGATATGTACCCGATAGATCCGCTAAATACAGTATTGATAAGTTATGTTGCTGATGCCGATCTACCTCCCGATATCTTATCAATATTTAGCGGATTTATGGCAGACTATCGAGTACATATCAGGAAACTTGTCTCCCGATATTCATTGAATTAACTTGTGAAAGGATAAGTCATATCTTACAAAATTACTTTACTCATTTTTTTAATATCATTCCCCATACACATTTACAATGATATATCACGGAAAAAACTTCAAACGGTCATATAATATACTGGAATTGATATTAGCGAAATTAGCATAAATCATGTGATTTGGTATCTAAAGAAATATATAGCTACCGATCGTAATTTACCACCTGACAACCCTGGTTATGCATATATTTGGAATTTCAAAAGTTTCAAAGTCTTCAACCATAAATAACTTTTGATTAACTGGTCCTTTTGGGATGATTTTATATCAAAATGACCGTCTCAATGAGACGATTTTAACGAGCCCAAAATCGCTTAAATTCAATCATGGGATCCCGAGATCATTAGATTTGTGTCACTTCGGGTGTTTTAGGTTTGAATAACCCCAATCCTAAAACGCCCGAAGTGACACAAATCCTTATGATCATTACGATTTTGGGCTTAGAATCATCTCATTTAGACGGTCATTTTGATAGTAAAAATCATCAAAACGGACCAGTTAATTATGGTTAAAGGCTTTTGAATTTTTAGAAAAATGTAACTCATAGATATTTTGAAACTATAATTGATATCCCTCACCTTCACTATCTTATAATTTTTCCATATGATGTTCGGAATAATTAATTATCGAAGGTGAAATTCATCATGTTTATTATTTATTAAAAGATTTACTGTATAAAAAACTTTTATTCTAAATTTAAAGTCAAATTAAACTTGTTTTTTTAGGAAGCTGAACTTTTTTTAGTTGGCATTTTTAGCACCAATTACAATTAAACAGTCAATTACTTGAGCTATCGTTATTAAAATTAAGTTTTCACTTTAAAAAAAGCAGATAATATTAGTAATTTTGCTATATTGCTCAGGTTACACTGAATTCCAAATGTTATTGAAAAAAATTCACCTAAAAAAAAGTGTCTTTGACTCTAACATTAAAATTAAGATTCATACATATGTATATATCTGTATATGCACTACGTATGTGTGCATATGTTCTATCAGTACGTAACTATTGTTAGATAATTAGTTTGGCAATACAATACGCATCGGTATAATACTTGGATTCTTTAAATCGTCCCAACCATTTTCGATAATTATTACTCAAAAGGTAGCTCAGAGAAAAAATATATATAATATAATAAAGGTCCACTTATTTCAATTTTTATCTTAGCATTCAAATTATTTAATAAAAAATGATAGGACGAAGCGGAATGCAAAGATTTTCTTTATACTTAATTATTTGCATTGTTTTTCTTTTAACTTATGTTTTTATACCAAAATTTTGGTGGCAAATCGAAATAGAAGGTATATATATTTTTTTATTAATGTATATCACTTTGAAAATATAAGCGAAATCTCACAAATACTCGTTTAAAGAATGTGCACATTTGTAAAAAGTATTTTATTATGAGTTTTACAAATTAATACATATATATCTACATCAGAATATAACATCGTTAATAATTTTGATCAGATGAAAGTTTTAACGTACAACATAGATAACATATTTATATGTAAAAAATTTAACAAATTTTTTGTTTAAAAATATAAATTATAGAATATGTTAAAAAAAAAATAATCCCAATTGAAATAATCTCACCATCAAAATCCGAAGCAAAATCCAAAGCAAAATCCAAAGACATTTCATCAAGACCAGATGGATACTCTTTTACCATCGTTACAGCAGCTAGTTCTAATCATTGGTGTCAATTAACTTATTGGATAAGTCACATGAACAATCTTAAATTATTTTTACCAAAAGACATAAAAACAAGAATAATAATTTACGATTTGAATTTAGAAGAACAACATAAATTTATACTTGATAAATTTAAATCAAAAAATAAATTTAATGAACTACGAGAATTTAATTATACAAAATATCCGGAATTTTGGAATATAAAAAAAAATAAAACTTCAAGAGGTGAATATGGTTGGAAAGTTGGAATAATTAAAGAAATTTCGACTGAATTTCCTGGATTTTTAATTTGGTCAGATTCTGGAACTATTATTAGTCAAAAAACTTTAGAAAATCTTCCTGAAATTCTTAAATTACATCATGGTTTTATTTCTTCAAAATCTCCTGATACAATGGCTAAATGGACTCATCCGGGTGTTTACAAATATTTTAATGATGATGGTAAAAAATATAAAAATGTTTCTAATTGTAATGCCGCGGCCTTGTTTTTTGATACAAACAGAACTCAATATTTAATTGACGCTTTATATGAATGTGCTCTTGAAAAAGAATGTATAGCACCACGGGGAAGTAGTAGAAAAAATCATCGACAAGATCAAGCTATATTGACTTATCTCGTTACAAAAGATCACAGAAAATGTGAAATAGATGAAATAAATTTGGGCGCAAGGGTTCATGGATTTGATCACATCTGTAGAGATGAGAAAAAGATTGCAAAAGAAATTGAAGCTGAAGATAAAAAACACATTAAAGCTGAAGATAAAGAATACATTAAAACTTAAGATTAAAAACAAATTAAAGCTAAAGACAAAAAAGACATTTAAAAGTTATAGAAGATCAAAAAAGATAAAGATAAAATATGAATATAGATTTTTTACCATCATTTCCATTGTAAAGAACAAATTAATAAACATTTTTCATTATATATATAAGAGAGGGTCGGGTATTCTGGCGCGGGTGGTCTTTTCGATAATATCTCGAAATACACTGATCAGAATCGAAAAATTTTAGTACCATTCGATTCGTCTCATTGAGATAATTCAAATTATATAAAAATCGCATGGTTCTAATTACTGAACTACAAAATAAATGATGTATTATGGTTCACGTATTATTCACGTGTTCAATTTTTCTTTTAATTTTACTATCTGCTATGTATATCCTCACTCGGACAATTTCTGCAGTACGTAACGGTAATACGTACAATACGTACGAAATACCTCCAACTTGAAAAAACAGTTTTTAACAGATTTAAAAGTTTAAATTTTGAAGTTTTTTTTTTTTTTTTTTTTATCATTCGATATAAATCGAATGTTTATTTTTCGATAAATTTTATAAATAACGCTTTTCCTTATATGTGCAACTCTTTAAGTGTGCCATAATACCCGACACTCCCTTACCGTTACGTATACGTTTTTTTTTAAATCCACTAATCCAAATAAAGAAACAAACGGATTTATCAAATCTCGTGATTAAAGAAAAATTTTTATAAAGGTTGTCCATGGAAGATTTTATCATTACTAAAAGAAAATGTTTGTATTTCAATTTCCAAAAATTTTAACTTTAGTTTCGTCGGTTATAGTTTCTCAAGGTAATCACTTTCATTATTTTAATTTCACATCACGATGAGGTTCTAACAAAATTATTGAAATAGTGATTACAACGTTCTATTATGCATATAACATTTGTGGCAAACTTCAAATGGATCTTCGTCGTGAAAAGAATTTTACTCCTGCTCAACGAGAAACTTTTGCTTATGATGTACCACAATCTGGACCTTTGGTATCAATCATCTTCCGATTTTCCAATTCTTAATCATGAAAATAAAAATCGATTTTAATTCTACTTAACCCTATGATTATTACTCGAAATTAAATTAAAAAGGCAAGCATATTAACAACATTCATATTGACTCTAACCTTAACAAACGTAATCTCTGAATTAAAGATAAACGATGTCCAAAATTTAATTATTACGAGCCTTGTACTTTGGATTGGTAAACTATCAACACGATTTCAATAAAATACCTTTTTTTTTTTTAATAAAAAAATTTTTTTTTCTTACCATTCATTCTATTCATTCTGCACCTGTTTATTAACAGTTACAAGCGCTTTATTGTTCTCACGTTATGTTTCTTACAACATGACCGTAAAGTTATTTTTGATTGATACTATTCACGACGCGTTACAAATCGTTGGTGTATCATTAACTGTACTTTATTTTTCTCAATCCTCGTAATTATTGAGGGATCAATTTATAGTAAAAAGAATGATCGATGAGAATAAATATCCGAATATCGACTAATAGAATGGCGAATATTTGTCTTTTTGAATTTTTTTTTTTTTTTTTTGATTTTTTATGTAAATAATCACAATACTTTTAATTAATTTGAAAAATACTTTAATTTGAAAAATATTTAAATTGGAAAAATATTTTAATTTGAAAAATATTTTAATTTGAAAAATATTTTAATTTGAATTTGTTTTTGATTAATATTCAATTAAACGATAATTAAAATTCAATCAACGAATGAATACAATCAAAAAACAATGTGAATGTATAATAATTTACTGTAATATTAATCTCTTTTCAATGGATAACTTTCAGTAGTAACTCCATCTTGTTTGATAATAAAAATTTCAAGATGATCTCCGGTATAAATATCTCTTTCTGTAGCTGACGTAAAGGCATCTTTGGCGATACAAAGTGCTCTATCTAAGGTCAAACGTGGTTTTTCAACATTTTGCACATTTTTAAATTCGACCTACATAGTGGTATATATATATATATTAGATTGTAAAAAAATAATCTATAATATTATAAGACAGCTCATTACCTGATTGTCCAGAAATGGTTGAATTAGTGAAGCTGCTGTCCCAGCAGCTCTACAGTTTTCTGATCCGTAGGATCCTATAGGATCAAAACTGTATACTATACCTACACCTAAATATAAGAATAATATATTTATTTATTTATTTATTATATAGTGATAAATTTTTTAAAATTATTACATAAATTTCGAATAATTATTTACCATTTTCATCGACACCACCAAGTAAAACCTGAGTGTAAAATGGAAAAAATCGTTTAAAGTATAAAGTGTTGGAAAGCAATTGAGCAAGTGCCGATATTGACATTTCTTTTTCATGAGAATGTTTATACCACTAATGTTATATAAATGATCTTTAATTTTTTAAAAATATATATATTAATAATAACAAACGCTATTTAAAATTACATCTTTTACCTGCATTCTTTGGGTGAGTCTTCTAACCAATGCGTTACCATCAGCTGCAAATCCACTATTTGCTAATACCGCTTTTTCGGACCTGTGAATTATTTAATTTGATAAAAATAAATATACAAGAAAAAAAAAAAAAATTGATTTGATACAATAAATTTAATTACATTTTAAAAGCTTTGGGTGCATAACGTGCATTTATAAGATAACCATTACTTTGACGAGTATCCGAAGCTACCACACAAAAATCCTCCCCTGCAATGGCCACTGCAGTACTATTATGTATAAGAAAGATGAACGAGCAGGTTAAACATTCGAAGACTAACTTAAAAATAAGTCGTAATAAAAATGCCTTATCGAATCTCAAGATCACAAATAATAGTTACCCGCCATTAGCTTCATAAGGATAAAAGCTACGCTCAGTAGGCACTGAGGTTAAAATCTCGTTATAAAAATCGGTAGAATTCATTGAATAATGATTCTAAGAGTTTTCAAATCGAAAAATTGAAATTGATTTAACGTTAAAGATATCGATATCGATATCGAATATACTCGAATTCTGTGTAACTCCTGTTTTTGATGGTTACGTTGACACGCACATCACGTATACGTACGTCACATACGTAGGGTAAAATTTTTGTTCGGGCCACTTTTTCAATTTCTCTATATTCTCTATGATGGATGCTTTTGTGAACAGATTTAAAGGGACTACTGCTCTTTGGTCCGACGAAAGTAGTATGCTCGGTGATTTCGGCTCCTATGATGCTGTTAAAGAATTCTCTCACCCAGTCTTCGAAATTCCCGCTTATCAAAATGCAAGTATACATAATTTGTGAATTCGTTTGATATTTTTATTAAGTGCTCAACAGATACCAAAAATCAAATAGCCTGTCAAATTTTTAAAAGACTGCACCGATGAAAACTCTGATTCTGAGTGTCGTATCAAATTTGAACATGGTACAACTACACTAGCTTTCAAATTTCAAGGTGGTATCATGGTTGCTGTTGATTCGCGTGCTTCTGCCGGAAGTTACATTGGTAATTAAAAAAAAATTTATTGAATCATTTTGATCTTTAATACATCTATATAATTAATAATTTATGTATACCTTTTAATGTTTAGCTTCACAAACTGTAAAGAAAGTCATCGAAATCAATCCATACCTTTTAGGAACTATGGCCGGTGGTGCTGCTGATTGCCAATTCTGGGAAAGAGACCTTGGCAGGCATTGTCGGTGAGTTTATACACATCAATTAATATTCATAAATACTATCGTGTTGATATTGTTATGTTTTATATATTAGATTGTACGAGTTGAGAAATAAAGAACGAATTTCTGTCGCAGCTGCTTCTAAGTTGTTGGCTAATATGGTATACCCATATAAAAGAATGGGAATCTCAATGGTATTTAATAAAAACAGATTTATTAATTTTTAACTTTATAATAGTGTTTATAAGTGCTTAATATTTCAAGGATGGATAACTCATTTATTATCTAGGGAACAATGATTACTGGTTGGGATAAAACTGTATGTATGTTCACATTTAATATATAATCTCAAAACTCAAAATTTTTTTGACAAAATAGAGAATTTGGTTTACTCCTAGCAGATAATTACATTGTATACAACTTCTATTTTGAAATTAATTTAGTAAACTACAACTATGTGTTTTATGTATATTTATATATATCAAGCTATTACTTTCTATATAATACTAATAGTATTATGCTTTGTGTAATAGATTAAAAAAATAGAATTAAAAAATAAAAGATTTGAATAATAAAAAATAATACAAATATTAGAAATATATTATTGTTATAAAAGATATAATACTTTTAATCCTAGTTTAGACTAAAGAGCATATTTTTTCTTTTTCTTTTTTCTTTTTTTTCTATATATTTATTAGGCTACTTTCTGTTTTTTATACTTTTTTATCTTTGTTTTTTTTTTCTTTTATATATATAGTATTACACAGATCAAATAAAAGCAAATCGGGCACCAATCAGCATCATGTAATCCTGATATAAAACTGATTTGAAACAGATATTTGGCACAAATAAGAGATCTTTAAAATACAAATCAGTTTTATATAGATGTTTAATATATATTAAAATATTTATACTTTATAGATAAATTAATAAAGCTTGCTTTATAGCTTTTTTGATTTATCTATAGAGCTATTGGTATTTCAATATATATTAAATATTTATATAAAATCGATTTGTATTTTAAAGATCTCCTATTTGTGCTAAATATCTGTTTCAAATCAGTTTTATATTTGGATTATATGATGCCGATTAGTGTCTGATTTGACTTTATTTAATTTGTGTTAGTTATATTTGTTTTTTTTTTTTTGTGTTTTTTTTATCTTCATTCTTTTTTATTCTTCTTTATTTTATTTTTTTTTACTTTGTTTCTTTTAATAAATATAGAAAATTTACTATTTCTATCTAAATCTAGATAGAAAAAAGTTTTAAAAAAAAAATAATCATAACAAGCTATAGAACTCAGTTAGTAATTTGTATATTTAAGCTTAAAAGCAGTAGTATAGATTAAAACAAACTCTACTTTGGCAAGTTACAAATACAGTATATATCTATAATAACTAGACAAATTATATTTTAATTGTAAGGTACTTAGTGCTAGATGTAGTTAGTATTTGTATATACAAACTATTCTATTAATAAATAAAATATAATATAATTATTAAAAAATATATATATTTATATATAATAATTCTTTTTAGCTATAAAACTGCTTTTAAATATTTTATTAAACAAGAACTTATTTTATAAAATAGTATTATGTTCAATAGTAAACAAAATATATAGTTGCTATTTATCAGGTTGTTAAAATTTAAAATAAATAAACAATACTAATCTTTTAATAGAAATAGGCTATTTTGCCTATTTTTTTGAAAATTTTGTAAAAAATACAAGTGGGTAATAGTACAGAATATAAATTTTACATCTTTACTAAGAAAAGTATAGTTTTTTAAAAAATAATAAGGCAAATAAATCTAAATACACTGCTAATATTTTTTTTAGTATGTAATAAATTCTAAACTTGATAGCAAGTAGTATATAAGAACTACTTTTAAATAACAAATACTATCTTTATAGTAAATAATAAGCTCTAAGCTTATTAGCAAATAGTATATGAAAACTATCTCTAAATAAAAGATGCCGGTTTATGGTTTTTATTAGTTTTATGCTTTTCTTTTCTACCATAGTCTATTGTTTTTTTTTAAAAAAAAAAAATTTGTTGTATTTTTGATACAAGAAATTATTAGAAAAAGTTTTATTTAAAATTTTTGACTATTATTAATTTATTTTTTAAATTTATTTTATTTAAAAGTATATCTAAAACAAGATAATTAAATTAGAGTAGGTCTTTTAATATTTTCTTTTAGTAATCCAAAGTAAATTTAAACACCTATTTTCTATTTTTTTACTTTATAAAAATATTACAATTTGATTGGCTAATCAATATAGATCTTTCAAGGCATGCTTTGTAGGATCTAAAGCATGCCTTTGTAGGCATGCCTAATTTTTTAGCCGTGCCCCGAACCCTACTTATTAGTTTCAAACTATAAAAATAAAAGTGATAATAATTATTATTAGTTAATTTAACTATATTTTAAAAAAAAATTATATAAAATTTATATAAATTTAATAAAAAATTTTTTTATTTTTTATATTACAAAAAATTTATATATAATTAAAAAAAAGAAAGAAGCAAAATATAATACTACTATATTATACAAATATTAAAAATTAACTTTTTTATTTAAAACTAAAATAATTTGATAAAAAATACTAGTTTACTTACTACTATATACTGTAAAATTTCAAATTTTAAAATTTAAAACTAAAATATTTTGGTTTAATACAACTAGTAACGATCTTTTAATACAAATTACTTCAGATTATATTTAATTATCAATTCTATCTCGTAGTATTGAAATGTTTTTCAATTTACAAAAGAATCCAAGTTACTTATGCTTACAACAATGAATTATAACGTTCTATAAAATTTATGTACAGTAAATTTTACAAATCAAATTCGGGGGTTTTTTTTTGCAAATTAATGCTATTTTGTATTATAGATTAGCCGTTAAGGGCTCTATTACATGTCGCATCCCAACTCCTTGGCGAACCAATCCAAAAAGACGACATGATAAAGGCCTTGCCACTTGTTCAAGAACTTCTTGTTCAGAAAGTTTTGACTCAACTGACGTTGCCAACTAACGACTTCGACTTTCCATCCTCGTTCCAAAGCTTTAATTATACACTTGTGGAATCCTCCTTGGAAATATTCTGCGTCTTTACCATCGCCGCTAGCAAGGACCAAAGTGGCGGGTGCGTGATAATCGAGTAAGGATTCCAAGATCTTGAGATGGAGAAGTTCATCAACACATTGCTCTTTTTCCATCTCGAAATGTGGTGGTTGTTGAAAGCCACTAACGGTATGATCTATTTGTTGCGTGTTTACATCATCATCAAAAATACTTCTTTTCACACGCTTAAGAACTGAAACCTCGTAACCGGTTTGAGCGGCTTTGTCGAGTGGTTGATATAATGGAGAAGAAGCCACTAAAACTCTGCGTGCGACGTTTCTCCCACGTTCAAGAATGGTAAAGAGCGAATCATATTCTAGCATGGGTTTCTTCTTTTC